GCCCAGGATCCCTGGGCAGAGGTGGTGGATACCCTGGTCAAATGCTCCGATACCTTCCCCGATACCGGAACTTCCAGTCAGAGTTAGATTTCCTCTGCCCCGCAGTGCCTTAGGGGAGCATGGAGCCAGCTTGCTGTGCAATCGGGAACCAGGACGGCGAGTAATGACCCGCCTCCCAGTTTCCTGATTGGCCGGGAAGCCAGCTCCTTGCTAATTGACTGGGAAGCCGGCCTCCTGATTGCCCGGGAAGCCTGCTCCATGCCAACGGAAGCACAGGTATTGGTACTCGCTATCGGCGAGTACCGAAAGCGAAATATAAGTACTCAATACCCAAAAAACAGTATTGGTGCATCCCTAGTTTTATTTAAAACTATTTTTTTTTTATATTGGGACAAGTAGATTGTCATGAGGGCCAAGTAGATTCGGCTCCTGCTTTAGCTCTTGAACAAGTAGTTTTTTTTTTTTTTAATTCCACACCCTTGGTATGTGGGGGTGGGGGGGTGCTTTTTAAGCAACCCTGGAATTTTATTTGAAATAATTATAGCATTCTTTTTAAGTGAGAGTCTGACATAATTCAATCTAACTTTTTATAGCTGAACCTGAGCCGCTGTGTCAGGGGCAAGATTGGACCATTTATGGCAGCTCTATATCATTCATGGTATTTCTGTTTGCAGCATGCGTGTTTTAAACTCTTGGACAATCCTTTTTTTTCACTTGCCATTTACTAACGTAATACTTGTTTTACAGTCCAACCACAACAGACTATAAGCATGCAATTCATCATCAAGGTTAGAGAGAGGGTGTAGCACTATTTAGGGATTGTTTATGTGGTCCTCAGGCAAGACTAACACAGCATGTTTTAAGGGAAATTTGCTTTTTGCTTTGAGATCTGTGTGGTTTAATTCTGAACTCTACCAGGAATTGTGCATTGATTAATCGCATTGGCTCTTTCCACACGGTGCAGATTGACATTATAACTAATGTGAATACAGAGTGTGAATGCAGTCAGTTCCAGGAATGCAAATGTGAGTCAACTCTTGACTATGTTCCTAAAGAGCCATATTACACAAGCTAGTTCTGTGTAAAAATACCATTAAGAAAGATCTGGGATACTTTGGATGTTTGTTTTAAGTGTATCTAAGTGTATTTTTAATACAGGCTAATTAGACAATGAAAGAAACTTGGGCAATGCAAGAGCAGGATGGGGTAACCTGATTCCTATAATAACCTGAGCCTCAATGGCACACATGATAGAGATTGATAGATCGATCGATAGATATATTGCACTGATACCATTTTTTCCATATCAAGTACTTGTCCTAGTACTTACAGATGCAATTACTGATACATTTTTGTTTAGTGTCATGTGACAGGTTTTCTAAAACAATACAGACTAATGATTCCAGGACAGTGGTGGAGCACCAGAGGCAGGTCCCAGCCGCAACCACCTCGACCCTGGTAGTTCATGTAGAAAAAAAGCGAAGTATTGGTCTTGCTATCTGAACTGATATCTGAACCTCCCAACAAGTTAGCTAAACCAGGCGCTATCACCCAAACACCCACTCAGTCTTTTCAGATTTGTGCATTCAAAAATTAAGTTTATTTTATATACCATTTCCATAGGCAAGACAGTGTAGGGAACGTTGGAAAAAGTTACAAAGTAAGATGCACATAAGCAAATGGAAGGAAGTACTTCTCCAGCTCCCAGGGTTGGATGGCACACGCGCATCATTATTTTGCTTTTTTACTGCCTCAGATATCTGCTGTCATTCTATATAATATTGTTACCCTAATGTAACTATAAAAGAAAGGAAGTAGAGCATTCTGCTGTGCATTTTATGTTTCCAGGTGATTTATTTTAAATCACCTTTGTCTGGTAACGTGACCGACGAGGGCTAAAAATAAAATGGCTTACATGATAAGAACCTTAAGCCTACATTACTCAGCAGGGACTGTTCTTTGGCTAGCTGAGCAACACGGATGGTAATTGTTTCGTATGAAAATAATTCCCAAAGGTTGGGAATGCTTTGACAAAGAGACAGGAAAGCAAGTTGTAATGTCATTTCGTAGTCCAACAAACATGCAGCCAGAAAATAGGGCCCCATCAGTATCTGAAATCTGAACCCCTCCAAGTAAATTCTCCCAATAACATTGTGCACACTGGAGTAACTTTTCTCAGTGAACACTGTGCATGCATTGTAATGTCTAAGATGTGCTGTATTTCCATAGATGCAGACAAGACAATACATAAAGGGTTAATCTTGATATCAATTTAAGAGGCCATCTGAGTTTGGCTTGTCACTATTGTAATAAAATAACATGTTGTAGTTGAATTTGACTAATAATCTATTGCAGGGCTCAAAATTTCAAGTCCTGAGCTACTAGCCAGGCCTTAAGAGTCACTAGCCACCAGTTGCCCCACCTAACCTTTACCCTGCCCCGGCCTTAACTCCGCCCCTAAACACACGCTCTTTAATCTTATGATAATTCTTATCTTATGATAGTTGCCGCTTGTAAACGGCAGATTAGGGACAAGTTCCTGACACAGGAATCTCTAATCACACCTGAAATATAATGTAGGTGTGAATGGGGCCTAATATACACATACACTAAAGGTGTCCATACACCTGCTGATTATCGCACGATAATCGCGGGTGATCCCGCGATCGTACGATAATCGGCAGGTGTATGGGCAGCGTGCGACCGCTTCTACTGTAAGGTCGTACGACTTTTGTCTTCCAAGCACGCTGGAAAACCTGCCGGAAATCGTACGATTTTTAGCGGGTAGGTGGCCTGGTCGGAAGACGAATGCCGCACGTGCCGCTCAGCACTGCAATCATTGGAAGCCCGCCCCTCAGCGTACGAGATTTTAATGACCTTACAACCATAGCATAACGAAAGTAGTGCGATGGTTGTAAGGTGTATGGGCAGCCAAAAGCACAATAATACACTTCTCAACGTTAC